GAGATCCACTTTGCTTTTCTGTGGCTGTGATCAACACCATGACCAACAGTAACATGAGGGAGGAGAGAGAGGGTTTATTTCATTTTACAAGCTTATAGCCCACCATCAAGGGAAATCAAGGCAGAAACTCAGGCAAGAGCATGAGGCAGAAACCACGGAGGAACACCGCTCACTGTGCATTGACTCTTCTATAGCTGAGGCACGCCTGCCCAGGGTGGCGTCAGTCACAGTGGGCTGGGCTTTTCCACGTCAACCAGCAAGAAAATGCCCACAGACATGTCCACAGGCCAGTCTGATGGAGGGAGCTCAATGCCTCAGCCCAGAATCTTTCTTCCCTGGCGTGTCTAGGTTCTGACATTTACGGAACTATGAGGGGCAGGAAGGATAAGCTTCCTAATGCTCTACTGTAATTTTAAGGGATGATTATTTTATAGGTATGAGTATTTTGCCTGCATGTACATGTCTGGTGCTTGCAGAGGTCAAAAGAGGGTGTTGGATTCCCTGGAACTGGATCTGTTTTGAGCTGCCATCTGAGTGCTGGGAATAAACCCACCTCCTTTGCAAGAGCAGCCAGGGCTCTTAACCACCGAGCCATCACTCCAGTCTCTTCCTAATGTTTTATAGCACAGAATTACTATGATTGGCAGTGATTTAAAATGATTATTTCAATGTAGTCAGTAAAGTGGGTTTTAAAGGTTCTGAACATAGGGCTGGAGAGATGGCTCAGTGGTTAAGAGCACTGACAGTTCTTCCAGAGGTCCTGAGTTCAATTCCCAGCAACCACATGGTGACTCACAACCATTTGTAATGGGGTCTGATGCCCTCTTTTCTGGTGTGTGTGAAGAGAGCAATGGTGAATAAATAAAATAAATAAATCTTTTAAAAAAAAGGTTCTGAACATAAAGAATTGACATTTGTCCAAGCCAATAAATAGGGCAGTTTCCCTGACTTAGTCATTATGTGTTGTATTGAAGAGCCTCACTGGACCTTATAAATATATTACTATGCATTAATTAAAGTACATTTGAAAAAGAAGACAAAATTGGATAGTGAGTTGTGGGTTGGGTCAGAAACATTTCCTTATGTAATTCTCCCTTCTGCAGGTGTGTCAGTTCAAGACCAACTTCATCTATGACAGGCTGTGCTATTTAAATGTTATTCCGGCAGGGGGCGCCAAATCATCAGGAATGTCTCTGAGGCAGTCTTGTTCGCTAGAAGAAACTGAAAGCTCTGATGCTTTTTGAGTATATGCACAGTTGTGTGTGTGTGCGCGCGTGTGGTGTGAAATGTGTGGTTAGTATATCCGTGTGTGATTTGTGTATGTGTTTTGTATGTGTATTTGTACTATGTGCTTGTGTGTATGTGTACATGTGTATGTTTATTGTATATGTATTGTATTATGTATACATATATGTGTGCTATATGTGCAATGTGTACGTGCATGTGTGCACGCACTGCATGCACATGTGCCTGTATGGCAGAAGTGTCCAGTTGAGGGAGAGTGCCAGGGAAGATACTGTGCATTTCTGTCAGGTGGAAATGGGGTGCTGTCTGATCACAATGTCCTCTTAGAGGCTGAATGTGGAGGAGAACGTCCTTAAACATTTAAGAGGAAGGTTAATTGACTGATCACAGTAACTTGGATTGGGAAGTTGGTCCAAAAGTCTGTGAATGATGTTGGGGTAAGAAAACCCTAGAACACAAGATGGAGGCTCAGGAGGGCTCACCCCAAGGAGCCCAAGAATGTAGATGAGTGCCCACACATGTGGGAGGAGTGGCCATTTCTGTAGTAGATGGAAAACAGCTAAGATCAACAGCTGGACTCCTTGGTGACCTCAATGGCGGGCTGAGAGGTGTACGAGGGATGTAGTAGTCACTGCAGGGCCTCCTGTCCTAGGATGGCTCCAGGAGTTCCATGCCTAACGTTCCAGGCCTCATAGATCAACATGCTGCTGTCCTCAGAATGATGGCTCCAGCAGATGGCCAGCATTCCTGACACTTACAGAACATCCAGCCCACGAACAGTCTGACCTTAGGCACCAGCCAAGGGGTCTTCTCCAGCCCCCATGCTTCACTTGCCCAAGCCCGCTGTTCTGCCAGGACAACCCCTCTTCATTTTTAGTGTGTTTCATCACCTCACCTGCCAAAACCCCTAGTGCAGGGGAATTCGTCCTGCCCTAGAGTGTGGGGCAGGTTGGGATGGCATTGCTCAAACTCTACCCTTAAACATGTTCCTGTTGGATCTGGACCATCAGACAAGCTCTCTACCCTAGGGACGCCATACACAGCTTGGGTTTTCCCCTAAGAAGTCAGTCATGCCAAGCGCTGAGGAAAAAAACGAGGGCTCCAAGTTATTAAATCTTAGCCTAGGCCTCTCCAGCACTTACCGCTGCTGCATCTGAGGTCATGGCCATCAGAGATGCCTGGTTCAGGCCGGGTGTCAGGATATTGTGGAAGAACAATGGGAGTCTGTTACAACCATGAGTCCCCGGGCATGCCCCACAGTGGCTGCTGTCTTCTGACAGGGAATTCTGTCTCTCAGCCCTATATCCCTATGGTCACAGGATCTCTGTGGGTAGACTGCCAAAAGCAGCCTGGCTCTGACTGTCCCTGGCTCATGCTGTCCTGGGTACCTTGCTTGACATCGCTGGGTCCCCAGAGGTCAGTCTCTGGGGATTATGTAGAATAGAGAGCAGGATCTGGACAGGTGGGGAGAGAGGAGCAGGCGACTCTGAATGGAGGAGACAGTTCTGTGCAGCCTAGCCAAGGCACGGGGCCGGGAGGGAGGAGGGTGGGAAGAACAGGTGGTCCCTACATCAGGAAGGCTGAATGGTGGTTGTGGCACTGACCTCTCTTTGGCACTGTCCCTCCTCACAACCTGTGCTAAATCAACCTGTAGTAGTAGACCCTGTCACTGGGAGGCCATGGGCTGAGAAGGAAGGCTGCTTTGCAGATGTGACATAGGCTGCCTCTCAGCAGGACCAGAGGCTCTTGGGGCATGCCAAGGCGATGGGCAGTCCTATGTAGCTGAGGTGTTGGGACTCACCTCTGTGGACTGAATAAGGTTTCCCCACAGCAGAACCAGTGAGCACTTCCTGCACAGGCCAAGGACGCAACCTCCGCTGCCCTGAGCTGGTGCCCACCTGAGGCACATGCTTCCCACTGCTAAGTTAGCCAAGCTGGTACAGAGTCTGTCTTCCCATTTCTGCCTTTGGGTTGTGGGACAATCAACCTAGACTTCCTCTATAAGATCAACCTTCTGGGTTATTCTTTTTGCCCTGATTAGTGTGCCCACCCCTTAGCACAGGAGAGGGGATGGCCTAGATGTTGGCCCCTCTCGACCTGTCCTGCACCTCTTTAGGCTGAAGCAGGATGACTGACCAAGTCAAATCAATTTTAATTGAACTCCTTTGTTGTTGTTATAGTAAGCCCAGGCTTCCTAGGCTTTCTCTACTAACTGGTTTTTAAAAAATGTTAGCCGGGCAGTGGTGGCGCACACCTTTAATCCCAGCACTTGGGAGGCAGAGGCAGGTGGATTTCTGAGTTTGAGGCCAGTCTGGTCTACAGAGCGAGTTCCAGGACAAGCAGGGCTACAGAGAGAAACCCTGTCTCGAAAAACCAAAAAAAAAAAAAAGTTATTTTTTTCTTTAATGTTATTTTTTATCTTTAAGAGTTATTTAGTTTATGTGTATGGGTGTGCACAGTGTGCATGCGGCACCCTCAGAGGCCAGGAAAGACAGAACTGGGCCACACAGAGCTGGTGTTACAGATGACCATGAGCGACCCTCCACTACCTGTGGGAAATAAACCCAGGTCCTCTGTAAGTGCCTTAACCACTGTGACATCTCTTCAGCCCTAAATTAGTTATAGGTTTTTGTTTGTTTGTTTGTTTGTTTTTTGTTTGTTTTTAAAATTTCAAACACTCTCTCCCTTGAATCAATTCTGGCTTCGACCAGAATTTTCTCAGTGAAAATTCACAGGAAGTTGAGAGGGAGCCTTTCTGGTCAGGAAAGGCCAGCTGGGCTCAGTGATGGGGACTGGGAGACCGGAGTGCTTGTCTAGGTGGGGAAGCCATCTTCCCAGGTCCGTGCCTTAGCTCTCTGACCAGCATGTGCTCTCTAGAGGGAGAATAAGCTTTGGAGGACAAAGGGTTCTGCTTTTCTCTTTCTGAGGAGTGGTCCCAACATTGGGAACAGGAAGGTGTCCTGGGGCAGAGTGACCAATGTGATCTGTTTTGGCTAAGTGACCTATGGTGGGAGAAATTGAGACCTTTTCTCTTCTTCCTATTGGATGCTTCCAGAAGCCAGGACCTTGAAGGTCCCAGTCACTGACCTGCCTGGCCTCAGTTTGCTTCTGACCTAGCCATTTGTGTTTGCATGTGTGCACACCTAAGCTACCCTCCCCACTGCCTCAGTTTGGTAGGATATGCTCCCCACCTTCCATCTGCTCAGCAACACACTTCACGCCCTTCCCCTGTCCCTTGGAAACAGGGCTCTCACACTCGGCTCTGCTTAAATTTATGTGCCTGTTTACAGGGGTCCCACAGGGACCTGCAAGGATGAATCCCAGATTTCTCCAAGTTCAACCTCTTGTCTATCTTCTGCCTGGCTCCCCTCTATCAACCTGTACTAACTACATCCCTTCATTTCCCCAGCTTACTTCCAAGTTTGACGCTAAGGTCTGTATCCAGATCATCCCCAGCCAGAACTGCAGTGTTCCGGTCAGAACCTCTTTCCTAGTCCCGCCACTCTGGACTGGCACTCCCACTCGACTGCACTTTCCCTTCCTCCGTTCCAGTCCAGATCCCAGCTCGACCCTCCTCCCTCCTGTCCCCACCACCTGCCCCTCCAGAGAAAAGCTGAGGATTCTAGGCAACGGCGAGAGTCAGGGGCGGAGCAGGGGCGTGGCCTGGGTTGGAGCTCTCCGACGTCCCGCCCTGGTCCCGCCCCAAACCTCTTACCTCTGCTTGTTGCCGCAAGCCGGGTGCATCTTAGCTGGCCATGGAGACCCCAGCACGGTGTCTGCACCTTCTCCCTCTGTTGCTGCTGCTTTGTGGTAAGGAGACATTTGGGTTGGGGCACTCCATCTCCTCTGGGCTTTGGGACCCACGCAGACTCCCCTTCCCGCCTAGGAGCCTAGGCTGCACTCTCCTTTTTACCAGAGTTTGGAAAGGACACAGGAACGCTGACTTCAGCGCATCCTGAAGGTTTTGTGGAGGGTCTTCAAAACTCCTCCAACCTTAGAGGAGCCGAGGGGAAAGGCTTTGGGCTGCAAGAGATGCACAGGGTTCCCAGCGGGACTGCGATGTCCTGGGGTCTAGGGAAGGGTCTTTGGGGAGGTAGTGAGCTTACCATCCTGCCCTGAGCACATGGCACACAGGTGCAGGTGGCTAGGATCCTTTCCCAGTGAGAAAATTAGACTCAGGGAGAAACATCGCTCTCACAAGATAGAAATGGGATAAATACTAAGCTTGTTTTGAAAGGGGCGTGGAGGCATAAAGTAAGTAGGGAGACATATTAAGGGATCCTGAGGGAGCTTAACGGGGCAGGGAGAGTGGGGTGGATTTGCTCAAAATACGTTGTATACATATATACAGTTTCAAAGAAGAAAAATATAAGGAAAGAAATACTATACAAGAAATGAAAGAAGTATCTTACTGAAAAAGTTACCCAGGATAAATATGAGGGCACATGTACACATACGTGTATATGCTTGTGTGCACACATGTATGCATGTATCTGTTCCTCTGAGTGTGCACGATTGAATCTGTGTGCCTGTGTGGGCATGTGCATGCATGTGTGCCTGTGGAAGGGGTGATGTGTGTGCCTGTGGGAGGGCTTGCCAAGTGCTAGAACTGCTGAGGAGACAGTGCCTGGCCAGAACCGGGAGGGAAGCTGCTGGCAGAAGGGTCTGTCCTCCAGGGCCCCTGAGTCCTTTAGGATGTTTTCCTTACTCTTCTGGCTCAGCCTCCTTGGCTGTAAGATGAAGTTGGACCTGTTTGCAGTGTTTCCTCAATGCTGATGACTAGGGATGCGGTCTGGGAGTTGGGACAGAGATGGGCCAGACTCAACAATTAGTTCTCTCCCTCTGAAGAGGTCTCTGTTGACAGAGTGAGGCCATGTCTCGTGTTCTACAGTGGGCACCTAGGCTAGGGTAGCTTTATGTTGAAGGGCCAGGACTGTGGCCACTTTCAGAAGGCAGTTTTGGGATTTTAGCAAGCCTCCAATGCAAGGCTCCCCTGGTGAGGATTTTGGTTTCTAGAGGAAAGAAGGTCCAGAGTTTATTTCAGAGGAAACCATGTTTCTCCTGACTGTTCCTAGTATAGAACTGGGAAGCAACAGAGAAACCGCATGAACTCCTAGCAGTCCTGGTCCCCAACGGCCCCCTTCCAATCCTACTTTGGAAGCCCCCACTGTCCTCCTCACTCAAGGGGCCAGGCTTCTTACTGGCAGGTCAGGTTCAGCCTTCTCACAGACCTGGCTGCTGTGAGCCTGGCCATCCCAAGAGTCAGAGATGTGTACTGTCACATGCAGTCTGGCCAAGGTGGGGTCTGGGCTCTGGAAGGGAGCAGCTGAGCTCCCTAGCTGCTGGAATGCTGACTGCCATCTGTGCTTTGTTGACGCTGTGATGTCTGGAACTCTAGGCTGCTTGGATTGGGGGCCTAGCATTGCAGGAGCAGCATCAGGAGAGCCATCGTTTCCAAACAATAAAGGTCTGGGCCTGTGGGACTTCCTCAAAATTCTAAAGTCCTCTACAGGGACACTGATACTGCTCAGGGTCCTGGGGTGGAGTCCAGCAGCTATCCTCGTATTGGCTCTTTGCCTCAGTTTCCCTAATTACGGCCTGAGTGCAGCTGTGTAGTGTTGCTGTGTTGATGGGCTTGAGTCTGTTGAGTTCAGGCCAATCACTCTGTGCTGTGGATCCCAAGTGCTTGTGGGAAAGCCTCTGCTCCTGGTACATGTGTTCTTACAGAACCATGAGTGAGAGCATCCCCAGGATCTGTGTGTGCATGCATGTGTGCACATGTGCGTGTCCATGAATGTGAACACGGTGCCCCAGTTTTTATCATGAGTTGTAGCAATGTGCTCCGTGCACTGTGTCACCTGTCATACTCATCTTGAGTGGAGCAGGTGGCAAGCAGTGCTGGAGACGTAAGGTCTTGAAGAAGATGGTTTGTTAAACGTGGCCATAGTACTGGAGCTGCCTTGGAGGTCATTTAGCCCATTTCCCATAAGGGAATTTAGGTGGAGGAACAGAACTGCCCTGGGCATAGACACAGCGCATGAAACTGCCTAGAGACCGAAGCCCCCGAGGCCGGCAGCCGTGGCCTTTGCACCGCAATCTGGTCGTGCTCATTTCCACGGAGGATGGAAGCGCCTGGTTTCATTTCCAGATGACTGACGACAAAGGGCTGTTCTCTAGGAAATGCATCTGTCCGGCTGTTTATCATCTTTCAGCATCTGGAAGTCACCGAGACAAAAGACACACAGGGCTGAATATTCTTTGTTTCAGAACGGAACCATCTAGAATGGATTTCTATTTTGACTCAGTTCCTGAGAACTTTACAGACCGGCCAGTGGCTTGAGTGGTGGTGACCCACTTTCCTGGAGTCCCAGGGGTCAGGGGCTTTACTCAATTGCTGTTATTTTGGGTGGATTGTGGGGTGGCGCTGGAAGCCCTTTTAGCTTTGTATGCATTTGAAATGGTGACATACTGGGGTCTCCTGGGAAGGCACTGCCTGTGACCCTGTGACTGTCTAGGGTGAGCCCAGAGCATTTTCAAAACACTCCTGATCAGGGCAGGGAAGTTAGCAGGTCTGCTTGGGTGTGGCACAGAGTCCTGATGGCACCTCACACCTGCATGGGACACACTCTTGCTGTGTGAACCCCTGAGGGGTTCAGGGGTAAACAAGGCTTCTGGGAACAGGCAAAGATTTTAGCGTTCACAGTGATTCTGAGGGGTACTTGGAGATACTGGGGTTTTTAGAGATCTGGGTGGTGTGTGTAGATTCTGGAGCATGTGAACGTTATGGGGCACAGAGGGGTCTAGGGCACCCAGAGGTTCTGGTGGTGTGGGCTTTCTGGGGCATATGAAAGTTTTGGGGTATGTAAAGCTTCTGGGGCACATCGAAGTACTGGAAAATGTAGAAACTGGGTTACACAGGGATTCGAGGCAGAGCTGGGAGACAGGAGTGTGGTGAGAGTCGCCCCACCCCTTTTTTTAACTTAGGTAGTTGGGTTCACTTGGCAGAGGGTGGTAAAGTCATGGAGGAAGGGCTGAGCAAGCCTGTTCTGACCAGACCTTGAGTGTGTGTGTGTGTGTGTGTGTGTGTGTGTGTGTGTGTGATGGAGGAGAGGGAAATCTGTCATCTTTAATTTGTCTCCTAGGATTCTGATTCTTTCTGACTCCAGGGTGAAGAGAATAAAAGGAAGAGGGAGAGGGAAGATGATTAAGGGGCAGAATAGAAAAGAAGGAGGTGTGGGAGGGGGAGAGGGGAAGAAGCCTTGGTGGTCTGGCAGCTGGTCCTCAGGGCAGGCTGAGGAGGCTGTTTTAGGCCGAGGTCTAGGAGGGCAAGAGTGGGACTGTGGGTCACCCGAGGGTGTGGCTGGTGGGGCTCGCCTGGCTGGCGTGTGTTCAGATGTTGGGTGGAGGTCAGTAGCTATGTTAGGGTACTGAGAGGAACCCACCAGGGGCTGACAAAGCCTGATCTGGGAATGAAGAGATTGTAAGCATCGAGTGACTTTCAGAGCCCCGGGTGTGGAGATGCAGCATGTTAATGGGACAAAGTGGCCTGTGGGAGAAAGGAACAGAGTGTGTCTTCACTGTCATCTGCCTGCATACAGTCCCAAGGGACTATCCTGGCACGAACCAGGGCACTATCAGGTGTGGCAAGTACAGTTGAGCAGGGGACAACTGGCACCTTCGATGCCCCTAGCTCAGATGTTCACTCAGTGTTTGGTCATGAGTAAGCAGCTTTACTTCTGGGGCTTGGCCTTCCTATTATTTAGTGTGCCAAAGCCTAAGTGATCGGGCAGGGCTGATTTATGCCTTACACCTACATCGTGGCCCTCAGACCTGCAGATGGGACATCTTCTGGGGTTTATCAGAGCTCTGCATGAGGCCTGTGGGCAATGGGCCTGCACACCAGAATGGACACGCATTCTCTCTCGCTCATTCTTAGCCTGCTGTGTACATTACAATAGACATGTTGGGGATTTTAACAAACAGGGACCCTCCGGTCCTCACCTCACCCATTCACTAGGCCCGGGCTGTGGCCTGGGTGGGTTCAGTGTGCCACTCAGTCAGCTGTTCTGTTCTATATCCTGTGTCTACCTTCAGAGATAGACTTATCTACAAAGGTTGGGCTTAGAGCTCTTAGCTTTTGTGTTTTTGAGTGGGCTCATATGGTGCCCCCCACTTAAATCAGGGAGGAATATCTTTGTCTCACCTTCAAAAGGCTGTCTTTCTTTCTAATCTTGGTTGTCAACTTGACACACCCGGGAAGAAGGAGCCACAACTGAGGAATGAATGGCTTCCATCAGACTGACCTGTCTTGATTGCCAGTTGATGTAGGAGGCCCTAGCCTACCATGAGCTGTACCACCCTTGGGTAGGTGGGCCTGAGTTGTATGAGCAAGGTTGCTAGGCAGCAGGGGAAGCAAGCCACGAGCAGCTTTCCTCCATGGTTTCTGCCTCCCCTCCTGCCATCCCCTCCCCTGATGATGAACCCGTGAGCGCAGCTGAACCATTTCCTCCTCTAAGTTGGCTTTGGACAGTGATTACCACAGCAACAGACCGGCAAACTAGGACACCTTGTGTAATTATTCCCTTTGAAGTACTTCAGAGCCTAGAGGTTTGTTAAAGTAGACCTTGGTGTCAGCACCCTGAGATGCACGGAGAAGAGAGCAGCGTGGGGGAACAGTCTGCAGCCTCAGGGCCCTGGAGGGCTTGACTGAAGGTTGGGAGCAGCCGGGGTCTGTGCGAGCAGAGAATAGGAAGCTGGGCCCCAGTGGTCTAAAGTATTTTTTTTCTTTTGTCTTTTATCAAGACAGGGTT